CAGCCGACAAATCTGCAGCAACTGTGTGATGCCATCATGTCAATATGGACCAAAATCTCTGAGGAATGCTTCCAGCACCTTGTTGAATCTATGCCACAAAGAATTGAGGCAGTTCTGAAGGCAAAAGGGGGTCCAACCCGTTACTAGCGTGGTGTACCTAATAAAGTGGCCGGTGAGTGTATAATCAAGACAAGAATTTCTATCTTGTGTTTTAAGAAGAACCAGTTTTCTGTGTATTCATTAGATTGTGATATAACACAATGAGTTTGGAGTCAAGTCTTTATAATTGTGGGTTAATAATAAAAAACGCCCCACAGCTTCCTTTAGGCTCTGACGTTACGACCGGCGAGATTAAAAGCATTAGCCTTTGAAAATGACCTTAACTGTAAACATGCACATTAAATGAAGGTTATGTTAATGACTGTTCACTGTTCCGTAAACTAATCGGCTTAACAATTATTTCCTCTTGAAATGTTCAGTTTTCATTTCTGTCATTTCCATGGTAACAAAAACATAAAAAAATAAAAAGACACGGGCAATAGAGTAATCTTTCAATCTCCGAGGGAGACCAAAAAAAAAAAAAAATCTGTTGTTACGAGCCTTTAAGTGTTTGGGATCTGTAGCTGAACTAAGTGGCGATGAGAAGGCAGCACTTTCCATTTCTCAGTGTGAAACCTCCCGAGACTCGAAGAGGACCTAAAGAGGACGCTGCTGACGGAGCGGTGCATTACTGTCCGGTCAAAGACTCATCCGGAGCCGGTCAGAAATCGCTGTGACAATGACACGACGTCTCCGTGTGTTGCCGGTCCCCGTGGAGAACATCTTACGAGACAGAGGGAGAGCATGCTGTCAAAGTGCTCCTGCTCAGAAATGCTGCTAGGCTAAAACACTCTGACAGTTGTGCCTTTTGGGACAAAAATAATGGACTGAAACAAGCCACATGTGCCCTCGCTCTCACAATGCATAGTCTTTGTCTCTGTGGATCACTTTAGATGCATTTCTCTTCCACTCCTGCAGCTGCGGGAAATTTAATGCACCAGTCAGGCCTCTTTTGGAAATTTGACAACTATAGCTAAAGTTTATTTGGCTGTATTGTCACAGACACGTCAGGCCCTCCTCCAAAGTGGCTTCTAAGCGAGTATACAAGGGCTACCAACTGAAATAAGGAACACTGACAAGGCAGAACAATTAGCAACTCAATGGTCACCAACTTGTGACTTTTAACTAATGACTGACAGACTTTTTTTTAGATTAATAGAAGACAGCTTGTGGCAAAATGTGGTTTAATTGTCAAGCTGTTTTTTTTCTTAATCACCTATAAAGAGATTTGCACTGATTTAAAATACATCACAAAGTGGATTGCTTTAATTTGAATAGAGGATTTCTTCATTTAGGAGAAAGCAGGCAGTGTATACAAATGCAATTACTGAAAGCGACCAAATCAACCACATTAGCCATTTGAAGTCCAACTTCAAATTCAATAACGCTGAATCTAAAAATAAAGGTTTTATTTTTAACAGCTTAACAAATTGAGAAATGGTTTAGTTTAAAGAGGACATATCGTGCAAAATCCACTTTTTAATCTGTTAAATACATTTTGTTGTGTACTTGGACTCTCTAGGAGTGCAGACAAGTTGTTCCAGTGCTGTGTAGATATATTTATGTTCTGTTTGGGTCATATTTATCAACCCCTTTAATTTGGAGCGACAAACGATAKCGATTAACGRCTGTCACCACAACCCGGGTGAAACTCAGCACACRGGAAGCGATAGCGACAGCAGCGTTGAATATTGCGCTCTCGGGTTGCTTGTCTTCAAAAAATTTCATTGGTTCTTCTRCTGCTTCTTGTAAAGTTTATTGGTGGTTGGCAAAAAAAATGAATGGAGGAAAATCTTACTGGATAAATTCGCCCAGGCGCTAACAAATTCCCAYCACTTCGTGAAGTATCATATAAAATTTGAAAGTTTGACAGAGCTAAACAAATCGGGAAAGTCGTAGCTAACTGCAGTGTGTAGCATACTCCCCGCTCATAGGTCAGTCAATGAAACCCTCGTTGATAGGTTGTAGCGCCATGCAACGGAGACCAAAATTCAACATTTTTCAACTTTCACATGTCGCGTCGCAAACTTACGTGTGCACGTCTAAGTTTACGAGCTCAAAATTTCACGAGTTTCGACGGTCGCTTGGCTGGAGGAGGCCGAGCGATTGTCGCCTCATCACACAAGTTCTATAGGAAATGAATGGAGAGAGAGCGACAAACTACAGCGATTAACGGCTGTCATCGCAGCCAGGGTGAAACTTGACACACGGGATGCGATCGCAGCGTTGCGAATCGCGCTCTCAGGTCGCTTGTCTTCATGAAATTTGATTGGTTCTTGACTCTGAAGGCGGGTGTGCATTACGGACGTGTAAACTAAACAAATCTTGCGATGCTAATTATATTGAAAAACAAACACACATCAAGATACAGTTTTATGAGGAAAAACTTAACATAAACTTCACCCTGGTGCCAACAAATTCCCACAAAGCTTTTTAGTAATCACTTGGTGAAAGTGTTAGCTAACTGCAGTGTGTAGCATACTCTCCTCTCATTGGTCAGTCAATGAAACCCTCGCTGATTGGTTGTACGCTAAGCGACAGCGACAAAAGTTGAACATTTTTCAACTTTCATATGTCGCGTCGCAAGCTTGCGTGTGCACGTCTACGTGTACGAGCGTGACATTTCACATGCACTATTTTCGCCGATCGCTTAGCTGGAGGAGGGCAAGCGATTGTCGCCTCACYGCACAGGCTCCATAGGAAATGAATGGAGAGTGAGCGACGTCGCCCCCCGTGTGTCGAGCCCTTAAGGCTGGATGGACAAGTCGTCCCTTGTTCACACATTTTAATTAATTTGTAAATTAGCGCAGCTATACAAACCCCTCTATCAAACTAGAATGGACTGCTGTAGAAGCTGGAGGGGCGGGGTGTGAAGCGGTCGTTTGGTTTTAAAGAGACAGCCTCAAAACGAGTTAATCTGAGAAAAGGGGCGGGGCTTGTGGAGCTACAATAAGGAGGAATTCAGACCAAAGCATTGCAGTTCCACTTTATATAGACCCCAACTGAAGGATTTAAATGTGAAAAAGACAGCTTAATTGAGGAAGTGAGAGGAAACTGAAACAAGCACACACCTGGTGACCAGTGCTGAGATGATATCTGTGATGGTACTGTTGAGTTCATTCAGGAGCTCTTCAATAGGTCCAGGGATGGGCAGCTGCTGTCTCAGGTGCTCTGCTCTCCGAATCTGCTGCCTGTTTTGCCAAATGGTTTCAGCCAACTTCTCACACCTGACCAAGCAACGCAAACCCAACAACAAACAAACAAGAAAAAAAAAATTWAAAAAMGAAAAGAAAAACAACAACAACATATAATTCATTTGATTAAAATTGTAAGAACTATTAGGATTCTGGTTGAGCATTAAAATCATCTTCGCCTCTGCCTTTCTGGGTGCAGGGTGATAAAAAATAAGAGAAAAATGTCACTGCTGATACATCTCTGACAGAACAATTAACGATTTACTGTAGCAATTCATCTAATAAACAAYGAAGTCTGAAAAACTTAAAGAGAAAGAGCAAAACAATGCTGTCCTGATTATCTGTCCCCCATTGAGAGCCAATGAACCTTGGGGGGGAAAAATCCCAGCCATGGACCACTGGAGACTAATAAACCTATGATTCTGCTCTGCATGAGGGAGACTAGTAGCCGTGTTCTTAGCTGGGGGCGGGAAAGAACTCACCAGGACTGAAGGATGTCCAGACCTCCCTCCGGTGGGCCCCCGTTGCCTGCCAGCTGTTGCCGTCTCTTCCACTGGATCAACTCATCATCCAGAATAAGGGTCTGCTGCTTTCTCAACAGCTGCAGTGTTTTCTGGTGCTTCTCAGCCAGGTCCTGGAAAAAAAAAACATATCAGACAGGACACATGTAAATCAGAACTGATGCTTTTCAACCTGGCACAGAAACACGTGAGTCTCACCAGTCGGTATTTCTGTAGTGTGTTGGCCTCTCTTGTAAGCCATGCCTCCACAGTGGCTCTCTTGCTGAGAAGGGCGGGTTCCCGGAGCTGACGGTCAGCAGGGGGCAGCGTGGCAAGGCTGCTCAGCTGAGCTGCGGAGGGTGCGGACGAGTCAAAGTGAAAGACGAGCAAAAGGGAGCAAGTTTTCAACCTACATCCATATACAGTTTATGTTTTCCACTCTGAATAATAAATAGTTTATTAGGAAGAAGGTCCTCTAAAGGAACACAGATGTTGATAAATCGCAGTCTTGTTTACTGCAACTCAGTTTGTTTAAGAAAGTTCCAGAGGGCATTTTCTTTACTTAACAAAAAAAAAAAAACCTTTCAGATATTTAATAGGAAGTCTGATGATCTGTCTATAATTTCACCCAAATGCCCCCAAATAAAAGCAGCCTAGCATTTCTTGAAGGAATGTCTTTTGTCTGCAGAGTTTTAGAGACTAAGATGATCTGATGTTGAGTAACACAGGTGTTATAGCTGTTTAGGCCAGAATAAAAAAAAACAGCTTTATGAAACAATATTAAGAAAAATATCACATGATCTGTTAGTGCTTGGAGTGTTGTGAATGATCGGCAGCTGCTTTCACAGCAAATTTTTTCTAAATAATGGTAAAATTCACTGAGCTCAATAAGCTGTAGGAGATGTCTTAAATTTTAAAGATCAATTACTTTCTGAAGGTTTAATTAAAATCCACTTGGCACACACATACAAACACATGCACAGATGCTGATAAACATAGTCTAAGTTTTAAATGTGAACCATCTGCGTAAAATATAAAGTTGAATCAAAATGCACASAAAACCACTTAAGTCGAATTAAAAACATAACATTTCTTCCATTAAAGATTCAAATAATTTCACACCACAGCTGCCCGTCGCTTTGAAGTCAATCAAATAATCTATTCTAGTAATAATTTGGAGACACCAGAGTCATGCGAGGTGGTTTTACCCTGGATGCGAAGGCTCTCCTGGTACTGGATGATGAAGTATTCCTGGTTGTGCTGGAGCTTTCGCAGGTCGTTCTCAGTGTCCTGGGTGAGCAGCCGCAGCTCCTCGAAAGCCTGATTGATCTGTTGGTATTTCTGCGACATGCTGTCCATCATCCCACCAACCGGAGAGCTCGACTAAACAGAAAGTATAAGAGATAGAGGCAGGAAAAGCTCAAACAAGTGCAACTAGTAAGGTTGGTTTTCCCGCCGTGTTGTTATGGCCCGGAGCGGACTAGACTAGCGTATTTATGGCGGCTGTTAATGTGAATTGTTAGCCACCGGTGAGCTGATATCTCGGTGATAACCTTGGGGTGATTCATTGACACTTTTTGTTGCAGTTGGAAAATTTGCAGACATGATCCCCAGCAAAAAAAAAAAAAAAAAAAAGCAAATACCTTGAAGACACTTGAAGACTTAATGAGAGCACACAAAGGTCTAAACTAACCAGAACGAAATTGACTTGGCTCAAGTGCAGTTTCACAAAAAGATTTTTAAAAAATGCATTGCGACTGAAAATGAATTCCTCCCAAGACTCGCAGAGTCGAATGTTTTCCACGCTGTTGGTTTATAACTCGGTGCCGGTTATAAACAGAGAAATAGACTTATAGGAGCATGACGTCACGAGAATACGCTGTGCTGTCTCAGTTTCCCGCTGGTTGAAACTTGACAAATGAAACAAACAAGCAAAGCAACAATCAGTTGTTGAACCCAGAGATATACCGAGCAGCCAGAATCCTACATCAAACAAAAACTGGACAACAATCCGCTCCAAAACCCCCCAACAGCTGGTCTCCTTACACATTTATAGACGCTTGTTAAGAGGGTTTGCTTTATAGGGGTAAACATGAACTGCTGCCAACTACCACATGTGTTTCCCTATCTACACTGAAAAACATAACTTGTAAGATTTACTAAATAAAAAATCCTAACGATTTGCACTAAATTTTATTGCTGAAGCATCAGGTACGATGTACTTGTTAGTATTAAGTAAAACATACTTACCACCACAATTAACAGTCATGAGTTTACAGAGTAATTTTTACTCAATTTATTTCAAAATTTAAGTCATATTTATGTAAACAAGTAAATAAAATATGTTCATTACGGGTGTAACAATACAGTATCTGTATCAAACCGTTCAATACGGTCCTTTAGGTTCATCGAACAAAGATTTTTAAAATTTATTTTATCAGCTTCTCTTCTGAAGATGCTCTGTGTTGAAGGATCAGTGGATCTGTGTTCGACTACTCCACCTAGGCTGTGTTGTCGAGCACAGATCCACTGAGAAACTTGCTGTTTCAGCAACATTTAATTTAAAACCTACTTTTGAGGTTAAACAAATGTTCAGAATTAATTTAAACAAACTGCAAGTTAAGAAGGGCATGGGAAATTTGTATTTTTTAATTGACAAAATATTGAACCGTGAGACTAAAATATCAAACCGAATCGTGAATTTTCTGTATCATTACACCCGTAATGGTCATATACGACCATATTTTATTTACTTGAATTTTAATTTAGATAGCTTTCATTGACTTTCAGTGGTGAAACGAATTCTTCAGAATGTCTTCATACCTATGTAGATAAAGACGTGTAAATGGGGAGTGGCACAGAGGCTAGAGAAGGTGAGCCTATTGAAAGCTCGCCAGTTCAACTCCCTAGATCAATAAAAAAAAAGAAAGTGGAAATGAAGGTTAATAAAATTAAGTAAATAAAGCATTGTCATATATGACAGTATTTCATTTCCTTTACTCAATTTATTTATATAAATTTGACTTAAAACCTGAGATTAATTGAGCAASAACAAGTAAATTTGTGATGGTAAGTAAACTGTCTTAATACTGATGAGTAAATCGTACCTGATATTACAAAAGTAAAATTTACTTGTTAGGAGGATTTTATCTAGTAAACCTAACATTATTTTTTTCAGTGTACATAAACTGATTGAAAACAACTTAGCAAATAATGATGTATTTGTAYGTATTTATGCCCAGAGATGTTAAGTAAAGTAAGCAGATGAAAGTGTTTTGTTTATATTGAGTGCATACCAGCAACTGTGTATTGATATATTTGGGAAATTACAGGAATAAATGTTTTCAAAATGTGAACTTTGATATAGTTCAGGATAACCTTTATGTTTGATTTTGTAGTTTGCAACGAGCAGCTTTTCTTGCAGATTTGTTTTTCCACAGTTTTGTCTGACTCCAGGTTCATTAACCAGTGTGCAACACATTTTTAAGAATTCACAATCGTAACAAAAACATGCACAAACCTCTCTGATACCAAMCCAACCAAAAGTTTGTTTCCATAAGAATACTTTATCATATCTTTAAGCAGACAATTTTCCAAATGCACCACTTGGCTAAACAGAGAGCAGTTATCCAATTACCCAATTTCTGAATCGAGCTCCATTATGTAGTTTGAGCTTCTCTTTGTGTTTTCAGCCTCATTCGGGTTATGAAATCAATACGTATCTGCAGGCGACACCCTGCATTTCCGGTTTACATCCAACTTACATTCGTAGCCTCTCTGATGAGCCTCTGCTCGGTGTAGAGGATGTGTTTGATGCATCGAACCAGCTCCAGAGGACAGCGATCATACGTGCTCTGAAAGACAAGGAGCGCATGATCTGTGTTAGGACCCGTTAGCTCCTGACCGCGGCCGAACGGGAACACAACAATTTAGCAGCATCAAAGGACCTTGTTAAGATCTGGAACCGAAGCTGGAGACGTGCTAACATCGCTTAATGAGACTCAGCGTGGCGCACTTCAGTGATGTGACCCACAAGTGTACAAACAAGTTTAGGCGTTTATTTCTTCCGGTGATATTTTAGCTGCGAATTTACTTTTCTTGTTTCTAATCAGTTGATTGCAATCAAAAATATATTTTTAAATAAATAAAATCAAAGAATTGTTATTCCCAGTCTGAGTAATACTTCACTCTGTCCGCTGCTTTCACTTTGGGAAGAGGACAAACAGGAAGCAATCTGCAGGCAGGGAATTGGATCATAAATAGCAGCGCTGGTTGGCTACCGTAGAACTCACTTGGGCTGTTCTCTTGGTTTCCATCAGAGTGGATACAACCTGTTCTCACAACACTATGCGTACTATGTACTCTTTCTAAGAACTGCTAAAAGGAAGGCAACTATGCTGAACAGTCGTGCATCCAAAACAAGTACCYGTCTTGTTTCATCATCAGCAACCCATACAGTATATTGTGCAGATGTCAGATGAGATACTGTTGGCAAGTAGTTTCTGTCTTTTTGTTTCCAGTGAGAAATCAGGAACATTTTATTGCTTTTTCTAAGTGAAGTTTCTAGGTGTCATCATTGATGAAAAACTGACATGGAAAAATCATATAAATGATTTAAGAACAAAAATAGGCAAATCAATTGGAGTACTGTACAAAGTAAGAGAACTGTTCAATGATAAAGCACTGTTTATGTTGTATAACGCTATAATTACTCCACATTTAATTTACTGTATTGAAGTATGGGGTAAAGCTTGTAAAACTATCACAAATCCTATTTTTATTTTACAGAAAAGAGCTATAAGAATTATTACTAGAAAATAATTACAGCCAACCAATCTAATACATTGTTTCATGATTTGAAATTATTAAAATTTTATGATTTGATCGATTATAATATTTTACTATTAATGTACAGAGCTCATAAAGGTGTCTTACCTTTCAACATTCAAGTAAATTTTGTTAAAAGAGAGAGCTGTTTTTATCTTAAGGGAACAGAAATGTTTGTGAAACCCTGGGTTCGTACGAGCCTGAAGGAGCGATCCACTTTAATCCAGGGAATAAGATTATGGAACAGCATGGAAGATGAGGTTAAAAATGCCAGATCCTTGCGTTAAAATATTGTTCGTTACCCTTTACCTGTTCAGATCTAATACCAGTTAATAATGACGTGAATGTCGAAGTGAGCCACACAAAACCATTCAGAC